AAAAGTTTCTTTCAGCCATCCAATGTTTTCTTATATTAACTCTATCAACATTTGAAATATTATTCCAGTGTCATTCGTGACAGTCCTTTCGAGCTTGGCGGCCGCATTTTCACAGACCACGTTTCGAGTTATTTTTGTTATACAGTCACTCAAAACGTCTTCACGTGTTATCTTTTTAAAGATAGACATTTTTTAAATGCTCCGCTCTATTAACTGCTTGGCCCCGACCATTAATTGGTATATTTGTTTGACTGTGCAAGTAATTTCTCAGCGTACAATTGAGCTGCAAAGTTTTCTTGGGGAGTTTATGGGTTACAAATTGCTCTTCGTCAAATTGACTTAATAACTGACTTTTCGATTTAGTTCCACCCTCGCCCTATCTGTTTCGGGCGACTAGAAAGTCTAGAATAGTTTGCTACCTATATACACGAAATGCTATGCTTTTTCCTTCCTAATGCCTACGGCAATTAATGGAATACACTGCCGAGATCCGTTTCCTGGAGTGAATATTCATGTTTAGACAAGCGCGATTTGTATATTTTACATATAAACAATCTGAAAAGTCAAAATCAGAATATCTTCTGCCTACTTAATTTCCATACATTAGAATTGCGAAGTGCTCTTGAAGAGTCCGGGTTACAGATTACTTTAAACGGTTCAATAACTAGGATAACATGGCATTCAACGACTATCGTATGAAAGATAATGGGGAATAGAATTGAGGGCAAATCGATACCGTTATTGGCCACTTCCACGGCAACAGGAAACATAGTGACCGGGAACGGGCAAAGATCGTGTTGTTGGGTTTAATGACACTTCTTGACGGTTTTGTTTATGATGTGTTGTTAGTTTATCATTGACATCTTCTATGACGTGCTGTTTCTTTGGTGGAATTTCCTTGATATGGTAGCAGCTGTGAACTATGTATTGTTTTCTTGGTTAGATATGAATTATTAGAAAAAATCAATCTGACCGATAGCCAACCTTTAATTCAACATATTTGATTACAAATTTTGGGATTCCTTATAGAATCGCGTCTGTAACGAATTTCATAAATAAGCCGAATAATAATAAAACGTCGAACGTGTCGTATCCTAGAGCATATTTATAGACGGACCAACACGCGGCTTTTATTTTGTACGCCCACACCGCTGGCGATAAAAAAATTAATTTACCGTACGGTTTTGTAATCTACGCCTGTACGGATGGTTTAGTGAATTATTTTGTATTAAATGTACTTATGAAATCGACTGGTAATGAAATACGAAACGTAATTGTGAAATATCAGATTTTTGAGAAATATTTGGAAACAAAAATAGCAAATATACATAGGGCGGTATATCTTTATCTATTTTCCTTGTTATGTGTTCATTTCCAGCTCTCATCTGACATGTAGTCACTCTGATTCGAAGTTATAAATACGTACACACGCTACACTACACTGCTTAATTATTTTGTCATTAATTTAGTTACCTGTGAGAGTACAAAGATTATAATATATCGGAGGTCTTATTATAGCAGATTCAATGTGCTCACGTGATATTATATCGAATTACTACAGCTAAATAGCCATTTATCAACAAAAAACCATATATTCATATTGAAAATATCAAACTCAACCAAAAACATTCGCTATCACTGAACGCATAGCGCAGTATAGTACGGTTACTGAAATTGATAATGACGCATTAGGACACGGAATATTTGAAGTGTTATGGCACGTGGTGTTGGAGGTGAATGAAAGGAATTAACTGGACCGAGATAATGACTAATGGGGAGTTAATATAAGAGTGACGGAAACCAGTAACATCATAAAATAATGACAACCAATGAATATGGAATAATATGATGATTGTCGAGATCAAAGAAAAAGCTTTGCAGGAGACAATTTAACTATACCGACAAGAGCCTTAATCTTAAATTTAAGGGGGAGAGATATGAGTATCGGGGAACTAATATAATAGTTAGCGTACATGAAAACATATGGTGGTTTCCGCGAAAATTATGTACCACACTGATAAGAACTAAAATTACCATTGGACGTTCAAAGATAAAACAAACTGGTGTTAAAAGTTCTAGTTATCAAATGGTCTTGGCATTTGTACCGCAACCGAACTGCAAATCCTAGGTCACGACAGGTCACTAAGACCCTCGTTTAAATTTCTTGACAATAATTACTTTAAAGTTCTCGGGATCAAAGACAGTCTTGGCACAGACGTGACAGAGGACGGACGCGCTTGACGGTTTATAATAACTGAAAAGGATATACGCGTTTATTTTTAGACACTACTTTTGTTAATTTTGTTTGGATTGCCGCGGGACGTTACATAAACCTTGTGGTTTTGTTGTTTCACTGTGGATCAGTCATAGTCATAATTACTTTTTGGCATGGTGTTTTCAGTGGTCGTCCTGCGTTTGTGAAAGGATATGAATCTAAAGATCTTCTAGTGAAACTTGTTTAGATTTGTGAGATCTCTGTCTGAGCACCACATGGTGTTAACCCAGTTTCAGAGTCGAGGAGATTGTTTACACAACAAACAAACTTTTCTCTTGTGTTTGTGTATCAGTGTTACCGAGGAGCGAACTGATTAGTCTATCACGCTTTTGTGAATAGTGAGCTGTTTGTATTTTCGGATTTCAATGACTTTATTTCTGGTTAAAATTCAATTAGTTTTACTAGTATAGTGAACGCAAAATAAGGAAAATAGTGGAATAACGTCTCATTATCGCCTCTCTGCATGTTGCTTCAATCGTGACTGGATTGTAAGTAAATAGTACGATAGTGAACTCGTTACCGTGAAATATAGAGCCATCTGTGGGAGTCACTTGTTGCAGTAGCATCATACAAACACTTGTTGCTTTGTCGCAAGCATTTGACACCACGGCTCACGTTAATAATGCGATTCCCCAATGGATGGTGATGGAAGATTGGTGTTCTGGAAAGGCGGGGTATGGGAGGGAGATGCGCCCACACTCAACTGTAACACCTGTAAGAAACGAAGAGCAGACAGAATGAATGCTAGTGAGCGTCCCCCAGGGTGAGTTCCCAGGTTCATTTTTTTTGTATTTTATCTTTTTTCGTATAACTAATTCTTAATTCTTTAGTTTATAGATAAATTGTGCAAGTAACTGTTTAATTATTACTTTTAAGATAAATAGGATGCGGGTTTCATAAGCTTCTGCAATGTTGATTTCCACTTCATCCGTTAATTAACTCCACTTCAATCGTACCCTCCCGATGTTTACTGTTCTCTGAATAAACAAACCCGTCCTGTATTGACTGTTAATTAAATTTCTTTACATAAATTTGATGATTCGGAACCGGATCTATGAAGTGGGCAAAACGCTTAAAAAACTATTACCGTGTTATACTCATCGTTTATTCCAAAATTGCTAATTATTACAAATATTATAATATTATGTTGAATTAGTAACCGTTACAGTAATCTCGTTAACTTACATTCTTTTTGGTGACTCATCGATCACGCGTTCACCTTTCTTTCCACTGGGGCCAGTTTCTGCAAATCTTTTTTTTTTATTTTTACAATACAGGTCAGCGGCTCTTTCTTCGTTTTTTACTTTTGAGCATCGGTCACATGAAGTTATTATTTTAAACGCTCTCTGAACAACTGTACTTATTCCATTATTTACTTTTTGTATTTAATTATTACCAACATAGAAATATCATTATCCAAATGATGTTTAAGCAAATATGGGGCAGTCAATGCTTTAGTAGCAGTAGAGTTCCTTATAATAGAGTTCGTCCAGTGAAGTACTGCCACCTTACCTATTTCTGCCGCCAAGCAGTAATGTCAGCATTACTGTGTTCCGGTTTTGAAGGCTAAGAGTGCTGGTGAAATTACAGGCACGTGGGACTTGTCAACTTATGTCTCAGGGTAACGGCCGCAGTGGCAGTGCCCCTCATATCTTTGCGATTTAATGCTCGTGGGTGGTACTGCAACTGTTACACTGTAGACAGGCGTTTAGCTTACCATCAGGCGCATGACTTGCTCGCCCTATCGCTTGATATTATAAAAAAGTCATTTAAGCTATCTTTGATAAACCTTAACATATGAACTAAGTATAATCAATAATAATCAACTTTGTTGTATAATTGCTACTCCTGTAAACGTTTTTGTAGTTTGTGTGCTACACAATGGAACAAAGGATCCAAATATTTTGATGGTCATAGTTAATCAACTTGAGATTAAAATGTTTATGGGAATGACTCCACGTGAAGTATCATTTAGGATGAGTAAGATGCGACTTGCGAGTTTATACATTCAATGAATAACGATACCTTCATGGCAGACTTCCCAGCAAGAAAAGACTGTGCTGATATCTGAAATATTTGGAACTTATCCAAAGTCAACATTAGTAGGCAAACAACTGTTTACCGAAAGGTAGACGAATTTAAACTGAAACGTAGAAGGATATTCATAAAACTGTCAAGTGAAGTTCCTCACTTGCGTTAAGCAAATAACAGTGTACAAAACAGGAATAAAACTCACGTACAAATGGTTCAATGAAGAAGTAAAATAGAGCAATCCATGGCTGGCTGATTGAAGAATAGATTTCCCAAAGATGGCGCTACGGCAAAAAAGTCGTTAAAAACCAAAAACAAAGATCTGCAACAAGCACATAGAAAAATTCAACATTACAAACTAGTGGAGTAATTTCACAAAAATAACTGTATATCATGGTGGTCAAAAATTGTGACATGCAAGAAAATTAAAAATTAAAAATATTAAAGAATATTCTTTAGCTTGCTGCTGGTAGCTGTAAAGGTACAGTCTACAGTATACACAAGATACCTGACCCCCCAAACCGACTGTCGACCTTTTGGTTCTGAGCACAGAAATGTGGAGAAAATTGTTAAACAAACTTAATCTTTAACCAGTGAGCCGTAAAATGTATTTGGTCGTCTCATTAGTGAATGACATTTTAAGAAAGTTTTTAAGTCAATTTGATCTTTAACGTATGGTTCTTACTTAAATACTGAACACAAATTTCAACCAGCTTTAGTAAAGCCGTCGTGGCCAAGTGGTATAAGGATTGCTTTGCAAATTGAGGCAAGCATGGTTCGAGTCACATTAAAAATAAAATATTATTTAGCTATGAATATATAATATTGTATTTTTTTGTTTTTAACGTCTACATAAGTGTAAGGAATGTCTAAGTCTTGTTCATAGAGAACAATAATTTCTATTTTTAATAATTCCATTAAGTGTATGTAATATGTAATATTAAAACTAAAAACTTTGGAAGTCACTAAAAGCTTGAAAGTAATTAAAACTGAATAGATAAATAGGAACGAAACGTGGAACAATGCGTAATCACAGAAGACACGATCGTAAATAAGTAAATAAAACTACTGAGTGATTTCGTGATTTGTTAATCTTTCCTTACCCACCCTACGCTTTATTAATAATATCTACCCTAAAATTGCCTAAGGTGGGTACCTTAGGCAATTTCTAGTGAACAAATATTGTGATTTCTCAATGTTAACATTAAAAATGATCAGTACAGAGTACTAAAAGAACCGACCTCAAAAGTACGTGGAATTACGTCTATTTGCTAAGTTTTGTTGAAATATCCCCTAGTTCGCCACTATACAGGACTTGACACTGGAGATAATAAAAATCGGTTCTCACTACTCAAAGTATATTAAGAGAAAAACGCCTTGAATTGAAGAAATAGCAAAAATCAACCATTAAAGTAATTGCTCCTAAATTAAAGTTAGGCGCTATTTATAAAAATGAATCTTCATGTGTGAACAGCCACCCTTCGAGGTGGATGATTTTCTTCAAAATAAAATGGGACCACTATGGAAGTACCCCCTTTCCAACAAAAAAAAGAATCATGAAAATCGGTTCACAAATACCGGAGTTATCGCGTAACATACATACAAAAAAAAAACACAGACGAATTGAGAACCTCCTCCTTTTTTGAAGTCGGTTAAAAAGTGAAACAATGCTGTTAAAAAAATAACATTAAAACAAAACAGTGCACCTGGAATCGAACCATGGCTATTGTAACTGGCAGTCGATACAACGTCGAAATTAAATGACGAAATTTTGTATTGGTTTTAAAGATTTGACATCATCTTCAAGCAACACTCCACTGCATTCCTTACACAATAAAGTTGAAATTGCTCTAATTTTCTTTGTTCAATACGTAAGATGGCTCTCAGAACCAAAAGGTCGGTTTGGGCATGTTAGAGGGTCAGGTATCTCAAGTATATGACTTCCTGACTGAGTGTAGAAATAGATTTCTCATAGAACAACTCCTTTTAAATTTACAAAGATGAAACCCAAGATACGGTAGAAATAATAATATTTGCATAACATTTGTCAACATTGCCAAAAAATATTTGTGTTGTATTTCAAAATATAAATTTTACCGCTAGTCACTTCAGAACGTTGTTTTTTTTATTTTCTCATAACAGTTTCATATATTCAGATATACTTCCAAATAAATGAAATAAGTGAACGTAACTTTTTCCGTTAAAACATTTCAGATATCTGCCATTGTTTTTATTTTGATTTGTAAACACATCGAATATCATGTTGACGGAATTAATTAGTCACCATTAATTCCACAACCATCATAGAAGGTTTTTGTATCCCCAATAATAATGACTTTTCACTTACTGATATTTTACTTGTCGCATCGTCTCGTTATCATTTCGTAATGTATGCTCGAGTTCCGCAGGGAACGTCATTGGGTCCAGCATTTAACGTTTTGTCTCGATATTTTTTTTTACTGAATTCTATGACTCAATAGGGTTTTTGAAACATGTATCGATTGATTCTTCAAAATGACGCGTTTAATTTTGAAGAACATACATATATGTACAGTATGCATATAATATATTTGTAACGCGAGTATATTTTATGAATGTCCTCATTGGCTCTCATTGTTTTGTTTTCCTTCCTGTTCCGTCGATTTGTTACATTGTCTTTGAAATATTCAATTGAAATACTAAGAACACAATTTTGTCGTGTCCAAATTTTTCCACGGTTTGGTTTATTGCCATCAACTTGACCACACTCATTATGATTATCATACACTTAAGTATCTTTAAGTTATTTATTTTAAATTCAGTATGCGGCTCGTTTATTAACAGCCTCCGTGACCGTTCGGCTACCACGCTAGTCTGCCACTCAGAGGTCCCGGGTTCAATTCCCGGGCCGAGAGAAATATTTATATGGCCCACATTTATTTTGTTTTGTGAATATATTCTTCTGTGTACCGTCTAGGCTCTCGGGTTTCTCTCAGGGAAAAGTTTAAGGAGACTGGTATCATAACTGTGGCATCACAGTACATTTTCTCAAATATTTTATATGCCCGTAAAAATATACTTAATTTCAATAAGAAAGAAGATATCCATAATATTAACCTTGGAGCTAAGTCCAAACTCATGGTACCACGATTTCGTTTAACCAAGGTCAACGACTCTTTTATGGGGAACTGTATACGTTTTTACAATAAGATCCCGGAGCATATATTAAGTTTATCATTTCCTAAGTTTAAAAACTACATTAAAAATATTTTGATCGAAAAATCATATTACAAAATTGAAGACTACGTGTTAGATAAAGATATATGGAAAGACGACATGGCTCCAGAATCCACACAAATTTGATTCAAAGTGTATTCCATAGCATTTAAGTTTATTTGAAAAGAGCAATCCCTAGAGTTTCTTGCTCGTTCTTCTCAGGGAGGTCAGCGTAGTGAACGAGCAGTAGCTTAAATGTGACGTTTTCAAGTGTAAATTTATTTTACCTATGGAATAAATAATCTTTGACTTGACTTGACTTTGTGAGTTTGGGTGTAATTTGTGGTTGTTTATGTATGTGTCCATGACTTGGACCGGGAGAAATGTTTGTATGGCCCACATTTATTTCTCTCGTGAGTGTCTTTGTTACTATTTATTTATAGTGTCATGTTCTGTTTCATTAACCTTTTTGATGAATATTTTCGGTAGTACCTCCAAATTTGAGTAGAATAATGTAAATGCTGTTTGCCAAATGTT